GTTGCTGTTCTCCCACAGCTGGGAGCCATACGTCCAGATTGGCTTTAGGACTGAATTGTACTAGTAAATTGTAGTTCAGGCACAGTGGCGATCGTGAGTTTATGATCCAGTGGAGTATGTTGGCAAATACGTTTTAATATTGTGCATGAGTCCATGGGCAAACTCGGTCGAAAGCTAAAGATACGTCGAGGGAATTAGCGCTGCAGTATTCTCGCTGTTTGAAGGCTGAGCGTGTTTTGGATGTTTACCTGTTCACTTGCTCGATGGTTCCGTGGTTTCTTCAGAAGTCAAATTGGTGTGCCGTGATAATATTGCAAGCTTCCAGATGTGGTATTATGCGAGTTAACAAGCATTTTTGAAACAATTTAGACAATTAAGATAAAAGGCTTGTTGGTCTGTATGATGACGGAATTGTGTGGTCTTTTCCAGGCTTCGGTATCATTATAATGATGGATTTCTTCCACTTTTTTGGGAAAAGGCCAAGATTAATGATTCCATTAAATAGTTTGCAGACGACCTCTATAGCGCATTTTGGAAGTTTGATCAGCATCTTTGGAGTCAATAGGCTACCACCAGGGGCCTTTTTTGGTTTTAGCCCTCTTATAACTTTTTCGATTTCGTTCGGCCGGAATGAAGGTACAGCGAGATGAGGGGAAGCCTCTGGCTGAATTACTGGCAGGAGGAATGAATTTTTTCGTTTCAATTGGGGCGCCAAGATTTGGGTGGATACAGGGGATACTCTGTGCTTGTTGATGAAAGATTTTAGTTGTACCCCAGCTGTGCATTTTCTTCCTGTTGGTGAAGAGCCTGGTCGAGTGCTCGGGTTGCTTCCTTAAGGCGTTGTTTTGAAGCTGGTGATATGCTGTTTTGCCAAATCATGACGCACGAGCTGTTCGATTTGTTAATTAGATTTGTAGTATATGTTTTGGTCTACTTCCTTCCTATGAGGATTAGAGATTTTGGCTGCCGCAACGAGTACTTCTTCCTCGGTGCTCGTAGTGTAGTCGATGTCGGATTCCATGTTAAACTCCGGGGCGAGTTCTATGTGGGAACTCACGTACTTTTTGTATTTTTTTTGTATTCGTTTTTGGCGTCGTCAGAATGAAGGGGTGTTTGGTTATTTCTGGGCTTTGAAGAAGCGTTAGAAGCACAGGTGAGTGTTCTGATGATAAGTCCTGCTGCTTTGGCACTTATTAGATTGCGAGTTATGTTTTTTGTCACCGCAAAATCAATAAGGTCTGGGAGCTTGCGTGAGTCAGTTGGCCAGTATGTGGAACTTCCAGAGGAAACATAGACCAGTTTATTTTTCACATTTATAATTGCATTGTGCAATTGCCTTCCTTTTGGATTTAGCGTTGTATGTTTGGCGTTGTCGTCTCCTGCGACTATAAAACGATTGCCAAGTGAGTTTTAGAAGTCCATAAATTGTCCTTCCGAGATTAAGAAACGAGGAAGGCAGTAAACGGCAGCAAGTGAAAGGATTCCGTTGCTAGATCGATGTGGACTGCAAGAAGCTTGTTGCAAACCTTTTACAAAGATTTTGTGTAGCCTTTTATTTGAAAGTTATATTTGCTTGTAAGACGCGATTCCATCAGTAGCATAACGTCAATATGATTTTCGGTCAAGAATTGTAACAATTTTAGTTTATGCCGTGAGAAACCATTGGCGTTCCATATTGATATTTTTAGAGCCTGCATACATTATTTAGACTGTTGTGCTACGAGCTGTATCACTATGTTCTGGTTTTGAACAAGTGTTTGCATGGTCGTTTTCATGAATGATATAAGCTCCATCATACTTTATTGGAGGGTAAGCATCATAGTTTCCGTTTTGTTGTGTGACTGTTCTCGGACCTGTTGAGCGCTTTGAGGGTTAGGCCGAATTGGAATTTCCCTAGTGGCGTAGTTTTTGACGCAATGTACGCATTCTGTGGATTTTGGTTGCGCGTTGCGGTCGCTTGGGACTCTTTAAATCATTGTACACCATACATCCTCTATAGTTTACCGAATGGTTGCCTGCGGTGTTGTGGGCGTCCCCGCAGACTACACAGACAGCCCGAAATGTCCTGGTGTGTCCATACTCTTGGCAATTAGTGCATTGCACGGGACCGTTGCACCTATGTTGCTCTTCAGCAGTCATTTTCCGATGCAAATGATATTTCAGCTTGTATATTAGATGACTTCGTTCTTTTTCAGCTTCTACTTGGCTTTCTGGATCGAGCTCCACCTTGAAGAGGGGTTGTGGCATTTTATCTTTATTTAGAATGTTAATCCCATTCTTGGCGGCGAAGCCCTTTTCTTTCAGGGCGGTTTTTATTTCCGCGACGCTAACATTGGGTTCGATTCCCTTTACTAACACTTGTAGGCGCTTACTGCTTTTCCACTGGTCGGAAGATCCTATCGCCCTATTTGGCCGGCTTTTTCCTTGATTGCGTTATGCAATGTTTTGCAACGGTAGGAATCACTATAAGTTCCTCCCTTTCTTGGTTCGATTGGTGATCCTGGACTGAACCCCAACAAGTGGACGTGAAGAAACACATGAGTTCAGAATGGGTTTGTCTAAGACTAATTTTATTCATATTGTTTGGCCATTGAGGTCTTTCAATAAACATCCTCTCTAAAATAAAAGTATAATTAAATAATTGCATGTTATTAGTTATTTATTCTACAGGCAGGTTAAACTGGGGGATCAAAATTGTAATAGACCAGCGTATGGTGCTATGCAGTGACTTAGAGTAATGAACAGAGAATGCGGCACGACTAGCCATAGTGAAGCTAAAGATCTCGATAGCGGAGAGGGCGGCCCGACACAGACATTGCAGAGCTCTCATAAGATAGGTCTGTTGAAGTCGAGCGGCCGAAAAAGAGTCGACCAACTTAGGCGATATGTCCATACCTAAGCATGATAAATAAACTATAAACCAATTAAGTGGCTGCTACCTGACCCGAGAAATAGAAAACTTCAATATTTATAGATAAGTTTAATAAATGGAGATATTGCTGACTAAATGCAAAATACTGCCTACGCATAACATCAACAACAACTTTAGCAAAAATTGCTAAGTGTCCGATGGATGAAATCTTGGCGAAATTGTCCGATTGGCAAAATATTTAATTTGTTTATTTATCATTTTTATTTTGTGCTATATTTCCATTAATATCTCCATAACCAATAATCATACCGGGCGAAGATATGTCTTTTTATGACGAGTGGTTCTAACATATAGGAGTACTATCACTGGTTTGACATTTTTTTAAGGAACTAGGCTGATGTTCATTGACAAAAATGTCCTCTGGCCAAAAACTGGTTAAAAAAATTGGTTTGAACATCAGCGTGGGCACAAGAATTTTGAAAGAAGATGTGCTCCTTATATATTTATATTTATAGTTTAATCAAAAGCCCTTTATCGGCTTTTTGGTTTTGATGTAAGCCGAGATATCATTTTCGACTAGTGGCTAGTTCACTAGCCGAAACCAACTACAACCCGTAATATCAGCCGAAAAAATATTTCATACAGGCATACCCTGTAGTGGTTTTGTCAGTACTGGATGTCCGGACGGTGGGTAACCTTGTTGGGTGACTCCTGTGCTGGTTGGATCCTGGGTTTCACTTATAGTGAGAATATATGCTACAAATTTTTATTAACACTAACAAATTTGGACGCGAATTATTCTCAGTTCGATGGTTTGAATTCACCACTTATCCCTCCACTGTGACCCATTATGTTGCAGGTTATAAGAAGGACGTTCTTTATTATAAGCTGGTTTTTGCACTGGTTCTAGCTTCATCTTAAATAGTGATTGCGGTTGTTCTGTCCTTGTTTAATATATTGAAGATATTTTTGAAAGGGAAATTTGTTTGTCCTTAATTATGTCCTTAAGGGCCTCAATTATGTCACCGAGCGGAATATCAATATAAGTTTTCCTAAAAAAAATGTTGCCCTTGGCTTTCTGCCTGGTTTCGGCTGCAGTGTCGTTATTCGTCAGATGGTCATATCTGTTGCTGTAGTTTTGAAAGAAACTTAAACCAAAATTATTAAAAGCCACGCTTCCGCTAAGCCACGCTTAGCCTGTTGTGGGTTTATTATTGTCTATTTTACTTTGACACTACAATCCAAGCTAGTCTGTGTAGTCGGGTAAGAACTATTTGTTGTATTACATAGTGCTGTGGCAAAGACGGAAGCAGTCGATTTTGTTGCTGAAGTCATCGGCTGGAGAGCGAAAGTGTGTTGCATTCTCCAGGCCAAAAATTCGTGGGTGGGTTGTTGCTATCAACAGTTGATTGTAGTTTAAGATAAGCAATATTTATGCTTTATCGGGGCGCGTTCTCTGAGATCAATCGGGTGCACAATTAAACACCTAGCATTTCGACAAATTCTTCAGAAGCGATGGAATCGTGTGACATATGATAGTACCTTATACAGTAGAATGAAGAGGCGGAGCGAACTTATCGGACTTTTGTGGAAATGGCGAAAAACAGCTTGTGCATGCAGACTTTGAGGAGTCAGTTTGGGCAGAAGCGATTCAAACGCATAGACGTTCAGGCGATGCGAACAATTCGATCGCCTTGTAAAAAATTAGACATGGGAAATTCCAGGCAAAACTGAAGGGGTATAGATTATTCGGATACTCTTTTTGATAAAAATACTAGGAGGTACCAGAAGTATGAACAAGCCGGTCTTTTCGGTATGAATGCAACAAAGCAATTGGTTGCAAATAGATATTCACTTTATAAAAGGTTTGGAAATAGCACTAGCTGCAGAGCTAAAGTTATATTTGCATTAGATTAATGGAAATGAATTTAATATTAAGCTTAAAAACTACCTTTGTAGTATTGGCTTTCAGGCATGCCAGCAAGAACCATCCTTATACATAATAAATATCCAAGGTTATCTAAGTTGTAGTACCTATACGAGCCTTTGACCTTCCGTTTTTATATGTTTATATTTATGTTATATGGTTATGTTAATTATTATATTCCATTGTTACCTTTATTTTCAGAGGTGCAGCTATTATTGAAAACTTACATTATAAGCAAATTTATGACCGTCGTGAATATGAAAAAAATGTATTAGAGAGTGTGAAAGCTAAAATGGAAAGAATTCGAGCAAGTAACAAAAACAATTATCGGCGTAAGTTAGATTAAAATTCACGCATTTTGTATTACAGCCTTGAAGAGCGTGTTATAATTTTGACCAAAATTGTGCAACGAAGTGAAGGAGACACGTCCAATCCTATAAAATAAATAAAGTCTTAAAAAACACCTCCTGAGTTAATAAATGCTTAATTATCTGTATGTTATATATATTCGTGTTTATTTGCTCCTTAGAAGTATCTTATATGCCTACTGTACATTTTTGTTCCCCGACAGGGCTGTAGGAGCTTGGACCTAAGTTGTGCGGTATGGCCGTGAAGCAATGCTTCGCACATTTATCTGTATGTGTATCCGTCTATTTGTCTATTCGTCTGTCTGTCTGTTTCTACACAAGTTAATTTCTTAGTTTTAAGACTATCGACTTGATATCAATCGGCTCAAGTATTACCTACCTACCAAGTATGATAGGCGCCTTACTTTTTCGTCCTATATTAAGCATGTTGTTGCCAGTTTGAATGACAAGTTGCGGCGCCTATATGGGCTAGTAAAAGGTTTTAGAAAATTGTCCCTCCGGAACAAAGTTACAATTTAAAAAATTATGTTGCCCCCCAATCTGGAAATATTGACTGGCAATATACGGTGTAGCTGCAAAAAGGTGTTACGAGGAGCCCCAATAACTTAGATGTTACTCCAATGAGTTACTGTTTTTATTTTCATAAAATACTCTTATACAAAAGATACATGAAAATCTTAAATCTATTTTAATTTACTTATCAACAAACTGACGCTGACCTGCTATGCGACCCTTTCTTGAGGGCCATAAGCGCACCACTTATTTATTCGGCAGGGGATCGGTTTTGACCCATGCTGTTTATCTCGTATTTCCATGGGTTCGACCCCTTGAAACTTAATCTTTAGAATTTGTACCTAAAATCGAGCTCAATGCTTGAACACACAGTTGTTTCAGAACAAGTACTTAGCCTCAGGTGCGGGATAATATATCCGCAACACTGATACCATAAAGAACTTGGCCTCGCTTTTATAGGTGACACTATTAAAGAAATAGCAGCTGCACATGACAGAAGCCCCCAGTCCCACGCAAGCCCATTAGCTCATTCACTTCGCTTATTCCTAACAAGGCGGCGCCCTAAGCGCTGGACTTTCCGGCAGCAAGAGCACACGAGAATATAACACATTTGTTTTCTAATTAATTTAATTTCCACCTTCTAGTTAAAATTGTTTTTAAATAAATATAGATTACTAAAAAATATTGTACTGCAGCCAAAAAAAAAATTTAACTTGAAACATTGCACTTTATTCCATATTCCATAGCTGCAATATCGATCGAAAATGTTTGCTATGTTTGACCCTACTTTGCTATTTTTAAGATTTGTAGTGTTTAGGTGAGGGGCCGTTGTGCTGCCGCTCATCTGAGCTTAAGAGCGCATCCGCGCTCGCCCCTCTATGCACGATCTTGCACTCTCTCTCTCTCGGGTCCAAATGCAGCAGTCGGCCATCGGTCGGCCTGTAGCGTTTTTTTCCTAAGTTAAGGAAAAAAACTTCGTTCGCGAAGTGGCATTTGTTCCTCTGTGCCTTCTACGACCTCTGTGCCTTCTATTTTGGTCATTCGAGCCGGATATTCTTGGATATTTTTCTACCAGCAGTTCCCGGCATTGTTCCGCCAAAAGATAAGTACGACATTTTTACGTCTTCGTCTATCTGCCGGTCTTCAGCAGTGGTCCGAACATAAAATTTCGTTCACACTGCTGCAAGATTTTTTTCCTTCCGTGTCAACTCCAAGTACGAGTTTTCCGAAACGACGTCAGTTTGAGATTTTCTACTCTTCTTCGTCTTCAAATTCTGCAAATTTTTCCATCCGTCTCCGTTTTGTTTGCTTCGCCATATTCCTTGCTGTACGCATACATATTTTATTTTGTGCAATTAATGCGCGAAAAATTCGCAAGCGAACAGTGAAATTGTGTGGTGACAAAAAAAAGGCATAATTAATATTGGCCAGCCGGTGTGAATTCCAAATTCACCGAACAGTCCGCCGCTGTCGTAATATTTTTTTTCTTTTCTTCCCTAATCAGTGTCATTTTTACACCACATAACTTTTCTGTTCCCCCAGTTATACTGTTCACTTATCAACGCTCCACTGTGCCAACATATGCCCCGCATGCCCTTACATATATGGTATCCGTACTTGCATGCATATCCATATATTTCCATATATTTTCTGCCTCCAATTTCAGGAAATATATAACAGATAAAATTAAATAAAAATAAAATTTTTATTTTTAAACCAAACAATTATAAAACGCCATTTCACTACAAATCCGTGATTGTGTCGCTTAAATTCTCAACCTAGCCGCCACAGTAGCCGTGTTGTTTTCTTTTTTGGTGCTGTTTATTTGGGATGAACTATCCAAATAAATTAAATATTTTTTTAAATAAATTTAAAAAAAATCAATTAATTATAAATTTATATATTTATAATTATAACTACTAAAATTTTTTTAATTATTATTTTCTATTTTAGCGAAGGGCCAGTTTTTTTAATTCACCTTTCCGGCCATTTAATATTATCGAAAATTATTAATATTTTAATTATCAACCTTCTGTCCGACAACCTTCTGTCCGCGACAATTAAGTTCGAAAATAGTTAAGAATTTAATATCTACGTACGAGCCACATTTATATAAATATACATACCATATATAGATCGTCATCAATTTTTTTTCGGAACGAGCACGAATATGCCGGTACTTGTCCATTTTCCGTGCCTCCAACGCTGCTTCTACTCCGCATCAGGCAACTTCCGCCTAAATCTCAAAAAAACCTCGGCTCCTTTTAGGTTTTTTTTTGGTTCCTGAAATTTTTTTTCCACATTCGAATTGTGCCGCACAAGACTTTCCTTTCGATCTCACCTTTTTCCTTTTCGATTTTATTTTCATCCGCGATCTCACCGTTCTCATCACATTAGTGTGACCGACCACCGCTTCGTACGAGGCACCTTTTGCGCAAGTCAGTCGACTTGCGAGTCTTTGCCTCCAGTGGATACGGAGGTCTTTGCGGGTTATTATCTTTGGTGGCCCATCTTCAGAGTCTTGTTTACGGCCATTTACATCCAATACTCGCGACTCACTTCGGTAGAGAAATTGTTCCCTTTGCTGTCCAAAACATTTGTTTCTAAGGCTCTGCTTACCCATGAGCCAGTTGAAGATCCTTTTCAACATCCAGGCTATTTCTCAAGAGTCCGGGGTCGCGCTGAAGAAGCTGCAAGCCACCATTCAGGGTTGTCCGACAGCCCTAGAAATGACCTCAATCATAGTTGAGGCTTGGGACTGTCTCCTGGTATTTACGATTTCCTCCAAGCTCCCCAAAGTCACACTTTCTATGTGGGAGCAATCCGTACATAATAAGGCCGAAATTCCAACATGGAAGGAATTAAATAACTTCCTGACAGAGTGCCATCGCCCTCTGGAGGCCATCGACGACGTCAGGCCTAGTGGCTCCGGGCAATTTCCGCCAAGGTCGGGACTTCCTACTGCCCCTGCTCGGAGGCTAAATTCATACAAAACTCGAGTGGTTCCTGGCCAAAAAGGCTGCGATCTCTGTTGAAGGGAGAACCACCCCCTAGAAATGGATGTAAATGAGCGCTCTGACTACATTAAGAGGAAGCAGTTATGTTTAAGCTGTTTTGCCCCATCCGACACTACACCCTCCTGCACCGCGGCAATCCGTTCGCTACCTCTCCAAGTCCACCTACGCCAGCAACGGCGTAGACCGCACAGACTGCCAAAAGCACAAACGGCTCAGAGGATCAATCGGATGTGCAGGTGTGTTTCGCTTCCGGCTCAGGAGCCGTCCTACTGGGCACGGCTCTTATCAACGTGTGCCATTTTGGGTGCAGCTTCCTGGCACGAGCACTGATAGACTCAGGGTCCGAAGCGACTTTCATAACGGAACGACTGTTCAACCTTGTCAAGCTTCCCTTCAAGATGATTCAAGCCCGAGTTTCCGGCCTTAATCAGACCATTTCCGCGCAGTCTACTAAATTGTGCCATTTCTCCATTCGGTCGCCGTCTAGACCCGGGCTACAATTAGAGACAGCGGCTTACGTTCTTCCGCAGTTGACAGGAAATCTGCCATCATATCCGATTCCGCGAGATCGCCTCAAGGGGATCTTTAAGAGCTTTCAAAACGATGTGTTAATAGGAGCTGATATTCTTCCGTCCATTCTCCTCGGTAATTCCAAGGCTAACATCTGCGGGTCGCTTCTCGGTCACGAGACTATTTTTGGATGGGTGCTGACAGGCCGAATATCTCCAGCCAACCCCCGCAGCGTGTCCGTTTTTTCCACACGAGTTGCCCGCAGCCTCGGTGACTCACTGGATCCGCCCCCTACGGCCCGCTATGACTCGGTAATCCACAGAATACATCGACTTAGGCCACATGACCGAGGTCTCTCCCGCGAGCAGTTCCGCTACATACTATCTTCCACATCATGCGGTCTTCAAGCCCGAAAGCACGACCACCAAGGTGCGTGTGGTCTTCAATGCTTCGAGCCCGTCCGCAAACGGGACCAGTCTGAACGTCATTCTTTACGTGGGCCCGGTTTACAATCCGACCTGACGATTCAAATCCTAAAGTGGCGATACTTTAGGTTTGTCTTCAACGCCGACATCGAGAAGATGTATCAGCAAATTTGGGTAGACCCCAAGCATACTCCGCTCCAATGTATTTTGTTTCGCAATCCCGATGGGGTTATCCGCGACTACGAGTTGAGAACGGTCACCTTCGGTGTCAATTGTGCCCCGTTCCTGGCGATCCGTGTGCTGCAACAGCTCGCTGACGACGAAGAGTCGAAGAATCCGAAGGCAAGCCAAATTATCCGGCATTTTATGTACGTTGATGACGTTCTCGCGGGAACAGACTCCAAAACCGAAGCCCAAGCTGCGATTCGGGAGCTGAAAGGGGCCAAGACACTCGGCGTGTGGTGGAAAGCGACGACTGATGAGCCAGAATTGACTTCCG